CCGACTGCCAACACATGATGTCTACACATGTCGGGCAAAAAGGATCGGGGAGCAAAAACTGGTTCGGGCCAAACATCTCCAGTTGACGTTGACGCCACTTTGATATATTATGCACGCTTGAGGCCAGCAACAAATAATCAAGTATCAAATTCCACACGGAATGCTAACGAAAGCACACTCACAACAACACGGCAAAAGCGATTTTTTCAAGCCACCAGCCACCAGAGAGGGCCAAAAACTTGGGGTTCCTTCTGCGATGGCTGTCGTCTTAGGCTGTCAGCCAAATGAGGGCAGGCCGCAAATTTCGGAGGCTCACAGGTATCCTCCCCTGAGTTCCATCTTTAGCTTTAGTTTTTGCACTGACAAAAAAAACCATTTTTTTCCATACAGAAATCAAAACTTGGAGTCAGGTTGAAAAAATATTTTCTTCGTTTTGTAGCACACTATTCCAGTTAAATTTTAAAATATGGTTTCTAAAGAATATATTTGAGAAGCAACAGTAAAAACATATTTCTTACAATACCTAGAAATAGCCTTTGATAAAGGCGAATATTGTTTAAATAAGGAAGTGTAAACGCGCCATTTGTTATAAATATATTACAAGTTTTTTGGCGTTTTATTTGCTAAACTAAAAATGTATTTCTTATAGCTTATGGAAAATTGTAAAATAATTGTATGGACATTTTATGCCTTAATTTATTAATTTATAAGTTACAAAGTGGCATCTAATTTCTAATAGATTTACAAAAAAAGATCAAACTTCTAAATTCGAAAGTGTGCAAAGAGACCCATTTGGAAAAATCATCTCAATTTAGTATTTCTTTATTTTGTGTTTAAAGATGATATAATAATTGCCTTATTTGTTTCACTGTATTCCTGAGGTCTGTGTTTATAGCGCGTGCGGCAAATGAACAATCAGGCAGGCCACATGGCCACATGGCCACATGGCAACATCTTTCGGCGGCTGGCCAAGCTTGTTTGCTTGAGCCCTTGGCTTCCTTACAAACCTGGTCCGTAGTCGGTCTAAGCCGATTAGCTTGGCATAATAGTTGCCGGTTGCCGACAATAAACTCCACTGGACTGGGCCAACGGAGTTGTCTGATTTTTCTTGTTGATTTTGTGAGGCGAATGTAGACATACCTTCGCAGCAGAATGGCAGAACGAGACGAGAAGTTGGTGACGACTCGAAGCACATGGGATACGACCACCCATACCGATTCAGCTTCCTGCGGAATTTGCGGGAAATCTCTTAAGTCAGACATGGAGATTCAAAGGGAAAACTGTTTTGTCATTTCTACTGACTGGCCTCGTCTGTCGCTAGGCATTTGCATTATTTGTGTTCTGTTCTCGCTTTCTCGTCGTGATTTATTAATGTGGTTGGGTTTTATTTCCTTGGCCCGCTAAGCTTTATTTGTTCATTAGTGAGCCCGGTTGGGTGCTATTGAAAATAGCGTCTGGGGCTCACCGTCTGAGCCCGACTCGATGCCGTTCAATGGGCTAAGCCCCTAAGCCGAACAAGGACTGCAAACTCTTTAATGGCTCGCCGCCAGGGCCCGGAATGAATTTATCTCGGTCTTTTCACACCGCCTGGATATCTGCGAACTGTCAGGCATAATGAGTGCAAATAAATTTCAAGTAGGCTTAAAATTTTCCACTTTTTCGCCCCGCCAATTGCCCGAGCTCCTCCTTGTGGCTCCTTGCCATTCAATGTAACCGCAGAAATTCATATACAAAAATAACACGAGCGATAAGAGGGCAAAAAGTGCCATGAATAACAGCCAGGGGAAATGCGGTCGGCGGTCGGTGGCCATCGAGAGTAGGGGCGAGTAAGCGGAATGAATTCTATTTAACATTTTGGGTGAAATTTGCGCAATTTTTTTGTGCGAGTATCCTGGTGTTTGCTCTCCTTGGCCTCCGCCACAAATATAGAAATATCAACAAGAAGGGGGCGGGCGGGCTGACTGCCTTTCTGTGACGCACTCGAGGGGCAGATGATAAATGTCCTTGCCAAGCCATGAAATGAATGAAGTATGGCCACGCATTTATGTGCGCCCAAAGGCAAACAGGCTGAGTTTTCCGGGCAAACAAAAAAGTTGGTGGGATGAGTGAGCGAAGAAAACCTGACAACAGAGGGACCGAAAATCACAACAAATGGAGTGGTGTGGAGTGGAGTGGAATGGAGTGGTGAGGAGTGGAGAGGGCTAGCTGGCGACAGTCGCTTTGCTTTGAAGCCGCGGCGGCCTACTGGCCCAGGACTTTTTGGCCAAGAACTCGAAGCCAATCGCCAGAAAGGGAAAAAAAATCGGAGAACTGAGAGAAAACTCTTGACAAACTGAACTGAACTGAACCGAACTGAGCTGAGCTGGGCTGGCGCTGCTTGTCATTCATCGCGCTGTCAGCTCGCTTCCTGCTGCACTGGAATTTTCAGTCTCGGGGGGCTAAGTTCGAGGGAAAGTTTTTTCAGTCAACTACACGCACACGTAGCGCAGGACTTTGGCCAGGTGGAAGTTGTTTTGGTGTTTCTTTTTTGTCCAACTCCTCCTCTGCTGGTTTTGGTTTCTCATCGGCTTACGCTCTTGGCCCGAATCTCGCTATCCGGACGGAATCTTGACTTTTCCCTTGGCCAGTTCGCCTTACAAAGCTGACTTTTTGTTTCTTTTTTTTTTTTTTTTTTTTTAGCTGCTTTGATGCCTTCAACTGTAGGTTCGTGTTTGTATTCATGTTGTGGGCGTGGCAGCAGCTGTTGCCACCGCCCCTTGCGTTTGGCCAGGTCAATCCGATGGCTGGCCAAATTGTTTGGGTTGTCCCGGCTTAAAGACCGATAATATTTTGATAACTTAAAGGCGGCTTAGAGTAGGTGGTTTGAAAATAAATTAAGTGGGCATCAACTCACCAGCTAGGAGTAAAAGTAAGGCTGAAAAAAAATAAAAAGAAAATAAACGTGTAAATTAAACATAATAATAAATAAATTAAAATTGGGTTACAAGAATAATAAGTAACAAATATGCTGTTAAATAATAATAATGCAACTTAAGAATTAATTAACAAAAGATGGCACAATTGGAAACATAACTTAGTCTTAATTCAGCTGAGTTTTAAAGAAAACACAGTTTATCCCGTGAAAAGTGGCTCAACAAACCAGTTAGAAACCACATTTTACATGCTCTAGTGAAGATCTTGTAAGTCTGGCGTTAAATCCTTTGCGAAAGTTCGCAAGCACAAGTTCACATATAGACATCTGAATCGAAGTTTACAGTGCCCGGGCCGAGAAACTTAACTCATCAGATATGCCTCTAAATAAGCATTTATAAAGCTGCGATGCGGCAACAACTGGCAAACTTTTGGCCAGAAACAGACACACAACGGCGGCAAATCGGAGCGGCAAGCCAAACATAATTTCCAAGTTTTTGGCCAAAATGTTGAGTAGGTTGTTTTCATAGAAATGCGATAAATACTTTCTGCTAGCCAGCTTAGTCGGCAAGCGGCCGGAACAACTCCAAAGGAAGTGGTGGCGTGTGGCGAAGTTAACTTGGAAAACATTAAAATGCCAAAGTGAAAAGTTTCGGATGGTTGGCTAACTGGATGGCTGGCTGGCTGGCGGGCGCAACAACGAAATTCAATTGAAAACATATAAAATCTGAATTTATGAAGACCCCCACATGCGCACACCAGCAATTTGCGTCTGCTGAAAACTTTGGCATCAAAAGGCCGAGCAGGCAAGTGGAACAATATGCACCCAGGCCCCGGGGCGTTAAACCGCTGCAGTGCCAGTCCGTTTGTTTGACTTGGACTTTTGGCTTGGTCAGGGCTTCACAGGGCGTCACAGGACATCACAGGGTGGGCCCACATGGCGTATGCGTGATCTAAGGCGGAGGCATCCCTGCCTCTGGCTTAGATGGGCTAATTGAGATGGAAACCGAACGAGCCAATAGATAACTGTTTCCAGACCTGGACACACTTTCTTGCCGCTGACAGGCCTGAACTTGGCCCAATGCTAATGTACAATCTTTTTCCGAAACTTTCGATGGCCGAAAAGTTTGCCAAGTTTGTTTCGTTTTCTGTGGCCTGCGTCGCTGCTCGTTTAGCACTCAAACTGGAGCCACTGCCTTCGTCTTATTTATTAGCCACATTTTATTATTTGCCGAGGAAAGTGATGGCAGGCCAGACAAAGTTGTTGCCCCCGTTCCGAAACTGAAATTCAGCCGCCAAGCGCTTCGATTGGAAGGATTTGCCAGCCACCGCTTCGCAGCGCTTGGAAATCAATTTTAAATCCATAACAATTTGGCATAATTTGCACGCATAAAACCGAAAATTTCATTTACTCAATAATGCAGCGACAAAAGCTTCGCTTTTTCAGCACACAAAGGGAAACGCAAACGCAATATTCTTTACACACAATAAACTTTATGTTGATTGAATAAAAGTTGCGCCAGGCCCACGCACACATGAACACACGCACTCACACACCAGCAAACTTACGCATACATAGACACTCCTAATGTCAAGCAAACTTTTCATTTTAAATTAACTTTCGAACACAAAGGCAGGGGGCACATTATCAGTTCGATATGGCCATCGCAAGTTGTTCATTTAATTTGTTTCAAACAAAATAGTTTTTATTATAGAAGTAACATCAAAATATTCATATATTTTTAAACGAAGAGCTATTAAAACATATGACTCTTTATTAGAACTCTTTTATTGTACGTATAATAGTTTTAAATTTTAAAGGGACATCAATAAATTAAGATCGATAAGTTCATTTAAAAAGATTTTTAATTTGGTTTCAAATAATGAAGATCTAGCCATTTATTTTCGGTTATGGTTAGTTGAAATTCCTAGAATTTGAATTTCACGAAGGTTAATTCTAAAAGTTCTAAAAACTATGTAAATTATATTTGTTTTATTACTTTTTAAATGAATTTAGCTTGTTATTGTCGTGTATTTATTGCTAATCTATCCTGTTCTTAAAGAACTAATAATAATATTATTAGACTCACCATTCTCCTCCTCGATGTTGCGCGTCATCGTCGTCGAGGAGCTGACGCGGACGCGGGTTGCCGCCGCCGCCTGGCCGTGGAGCGCGGACAGGAGGAGCAGGCTCAGCGGCAGGCAGAGCAGCAGGCAGAGCGAGCGGCTGCAGGACCTGCCCATGGTGGTCCGACCCTCGATCCTGCAGGTGGGAGCGGTCGGTGGACGAGGGGGATTGCGGGGGCAGTGGCTGGGAGAATTGATATCCTGGTGCTCCTGCACCGGTGATGCCTACTTTTCGGCTCAGAAACCTTTCACACTTTGCACTGTGGGCATTTTGCGAGGCTGGTTCTTTTTCACAAATTATTTATGTCTGAATTCGGTGTTTAAATTAATTTGCAATTTGCTGTAAAGAGTGAGACAGAGAGAGAGAGGCGGAAGTTGAAGAGAGACAGAGATAGGGGGAGCGGCAGAGTCAGCAAAATTTGTTGACATGTCAATAAATAAAGCAAAACAAAGGCAGGCAAAATAAAATAAAATGCAATACCATGCCGTTTTGGGTAATTACAGTTTGCTGTGGCTATTGCTGTTGCCCTGGTAGAAATTTATTTAATTGCCTTTATTTTCAGTTTGGCAAATTTGTAAGCCAATTCATTGCACTTTTTCCCAGCAAACGCACTGGCACTCCGCTCACCCACCGGCATATAAACATGCAAATGTAATTTATGTGATTTTTACAAATTTTATTGGGTTAATTTGTTTGTTTTAATATTTATGGCAATTGTAAACGAGCGTTATTTATGCGCCTGAAACTGTTAATTCACGCTGCGAGCTCAAATCGAATTACACGATCAAATGCAGCGCAGCTGTAACTTTAAGACCAATTAAGCCCGGACCGACAATGAAAAGTAGTCGTACGATGTCTTGGAGCGACAGCTACAAATCACAACGCATTTAGCCATTTTGTCAACCGCACGACAGCACGTACAGTTCACCTCAATATTTTAAAGCATATTTCTGTCTTCCGCTGCGAGGCTCTTTTAATTAAAGATTATTTATAACTCGCAGCCCAGAGCGCGCGAACAGTGGGAAATCATTTCGGATGCCGCCTGCGTACATATTTGTTATAATTTATGTGGCCCATATAAATGACTAACAACACACGGCCAACTGGCAAAGGACGCGCCAAGGAGCTATAGATGTGGATGTGGATGTGGATGTTGATGTGGATGGAAGTGGAAGTGGAAATGGCAATGGAAATGGTAGCCGGGCAAAACATGTGCCAAAGTATCCGCGCGTGTGGATCCTTAAGCGGGGAGCCAACTGCGGGGACTCCGGCAGAAAAAAGCCGGAGAAACGTGCCAGCATCAAAGTTCAATATGACGATGATGGCACTGCCAGAAGTCGGTTCCCGCTGAAGAGCTAACGAGTGCAAATTTCTCTTCGCATTTCTTCCATTTTCTCGCTCGGCGGCGTCTCGGTCTGGCAGTGCTTTTACTTTTACGTCGCGAAAACCCAATAAACGATAAACAGGAAGGCGGAAATCGGAAACTGTACAGTGTACACGCTCATGGTCCTAGACTACACACAGACTGGCTAAAATATCACAGTTCACGTACACTGGCAAAAAGTAATCAAAGAAGGCCTTTCGGATTTTAGAAATGCTCTTTCAAAATCTACTCAGCATTCTCAAGGCAAAATCAAATATGGTTTATCTATAATTGTATAAAGCCTTTTTCACAAAAAAATTGAAAATTATTTTAATATATTGTATAAGCAATGTAAAATCTATTGGCAATACTTTTTTTTTGTATTATGACTTCCAAATAAAGTTTTTAAAATAGAAATGTTTTTTTCCCCGAGTTTCTATATTCTAAAAAAGTATATTTAAAAAAATATTTTATACGCATTTTAAATTCATTGAAATTCGTCAAGAAAAAGTACTAACTCCAACATTTTTTCTCTCTGTAAAGCCCATACATTTACGGCTGCAAAGTCGAGGACTCGGTGCGACGTGCTTTTATGATATATTGACTTGCTCTAGCTTGATTTTTATCGACAGTGTTACAGCGGCCAAATGCTTTTAGCTGGCTGCACTAATTTTATTTCAGCTTTCAATCCGCGGCCTACGCCCTAAAGTTTTTATTTATTTTCGCAGCCCGCCTGAATTTAAAGTGAATAAAACTTTTCCGCACCCAGGAACCCCACAACCGCAATTGACAAGTGGTGGAGTGGCCACTTAATCATGTTTTTTTAAAGCGGCGTTAATAAATCTGTCTAAATTTATTTACAATGCAAGCAGCGCCTGCAAATGGATTTCCATTGCGATAAAATGAAAATATTTGTAAACCGTTTGTCAATATAGCATGCAGAGAGCAGGAATAAAATGATATTCATAACGAAATACCGACACAGAGTGCTAAATAAAATCTGGCCGCCTGGAAATGGAAATCTAATCTAGAAATATCCAAACATTCGAGCTGCCGCTCTTGAATCGCACTGAACTTTAATTAAATTGAGAAATGAAAGCTTTAATTGAAACGTACGTGAACAAAATGACTGATCGGAGTTGATTAAATTTACATTCTAAATCGAGAAGTCAACGAGCCAGCAGCTTTAACGTTTGGCACACATCCGACACTGCAATTGGCCCCGAAATTAAATATGAGCCACTCAAAACCCATTTACCCATGAGCCTGCCAAACTTTGGCAAATCAGTTTAGTGAATGGGTTATGCAAGGATAAAAACTTGTGTGCAGCCAATAAAAAAAGTGCTCCCAATAAAATGTGAGTCGCATTAGCTAATGCAAGCTGAGGGCCGAGGGTGAAGTGTTCTCCAGGGAGTACGCTGCGTATACGTAACCTCGATGGGCATGTGGCTGTGAGTGAGTGAGTGAGTGAGTGAGTGTTCGGTGTGTGGATGTTTGGGTGTGTGAGTGTGTGAGGGTGTTAGGGAACATTGTGCCAGTTTCGCCATCGAGGCATCCACCTACGATCGACATGCACTTCAATTTACAAACTTGCCAAGCCAGCATGTGTGAGTATATCAGGGTGAGTTTTCCGACTGCAGCTGCCGCAAAGTGTGTCGATGTTTTTTCATTTCCGGCATGCAAGTTTGCCCTTGCCTCGTTTCCCCTCACTTTTCCTATATGTATTTTGCAATGTAATGAAGTGTGTTTGCATTAAAATGCAATTTGAAGTGCAAAGTTACAATATTATTATGGCATCTATAAGTGCACGTGTGTGCATCAGGAGAGTCCTTGAGCAGGATTCCCCTGAATGCTACCTGGCACTTCCCCATTTTTTTTTTCGCGGTTTATGTGCGCTAAGTGAGCCTATAAAAAGCCATGCATGGCTGCCTCGTTTCGCAAGGGTTCAAGTGCAATTTTATGAATACTAAAACTTCTAATGGCCGCCAGTTCGCGCGTGAATGTGTGTGTGAGTGTGGGTGTGAGTGTAGGTGTGGGTGTGGCAGGACCAAGGGGATTTGCAGGACTGGGTAGCAATCAGAGCGTTCAACACTTGGCGCCATCATCAACATCATCCACACCATCGTCGTCGGCCCAGCAGCTGTTTCCCATCCTCGGGCTGCTAATTGTGCTGCATACTTGGGTGAGCTTCGCAGCCTGGGAGCCTGTTTGCATGCCAACATTAAGCAGACATCAGCATACTGCTTTGCACTTGCACGGGAACGGGCTTGCCTTGCAATCCACACCCCACCACCACCCACCACACACACCAACAAAGACTTAAAGCGTTTTGATATGCAAATAAACGCTCGGTTGCCAGCTGTCCGCAGTATTAATTGCATATTAAAATTCACTTCACTCGCATTTCCATTTCGAATTGATGCACTTTGTTCTCCGTGGCCCCAATAATTTTGTTTATGTCGTATCGTATGTCGTTTAGAAATGGGTTTTGTCGCCAAATCGTATGCTCATTGTTCTCCTCAATTGCATTGCATTTGTGTCAGAATTCGTAATTAATGTTCGGCCTAGCGGATAAATGAGTTTGATTAGGAACAAAAATGGGAACATAATGGATTAGGTTGCCATTAAAAACTATACTATTTTATGCATATAGAGCATATTCAAATAAAATTATTTTCAAATGTGTTTGAAAATATTTTGGAATCGGTTCTAAAAATTTTACCTTATGTCCATACAAATATTTTATTTGTTTTGTTCTATAAATAATTCTTTGAATATGAAATGTTAAAAACATTTTATATGTTGTTCTAGTCTTTAATACAATTTATATAAGGCAAAGAATAGCAAGTTCAAGCACAAGTTTGCCATAAATTGTATTAATTAAACTACATAACTATGTTAATGCTCCAATCTACCTAAATGCACGTATTGTAGCACATACAATGTGTTCATCCCAAAATCAGTTTAATTTAATTTAGTTGTCTCAATCTGATAACTAATTCTAGTCAGTCAGCTAGCCAAAGATGAGCTAGAAATTTACACCTCCTTAAATAAATGTCTGAGCATTAATTTCATATCACTCCTATCTTAATCAGTCGTTAGGTCCATCAATGTTTTTCCCTGCAGCTTATCGTGCACATTCAATTTCGCCACCATCACAGGCCTCAACAATTTGCTTTGAAGTGGCATTCATCTGTGTAATTTCATTACACGCACACTTCAGCAATTTACCAATTTAAACATATATACTTTCTGGCTTTCTTGGGTGGCATGGGGGTGGACAGTGTTCATCTATTAGTTTATGGCTCGCATTTCACTGGCACTCTGCACTGGGCCTTAATGGCCGTCAAAGGCCAGCAATTTTGCACTTATGTGAAATATGATGGCATTTGCAGGGCCACTCTACTATATAAAGCGATATGTGTCGGCGCATGCAATACGAAAAAACGAATACGAAAAGAACTAACCGTATAAATAACTAAAATGCTCAACAATAACAATTTTCGTGCAATTTGCACAGAACACATAGAACAACAAAGCAAAGCGGCAAAAACACTATTTTAGCAAGCAAATGAAAGAAATCCCAAAAAAAAAAAAGCGATGAAACGAGCAGCTGAGCGTAGAAATCGTTTTATCTGCCGGCATCACTGCAAAAAACACACAGGCACATATAGACCGAGACATATATGTTACATATAGTAGACGCACACCCACTAAACTGGCGAAATAATCCAAACGAGAACGACGTCGCCACTCGGGGTTCGTGCGATTTTCAATGGCTGTGCCTGCTGCTTTCTACTTTGCGTGGAAATGGTTTTCATTGAAAACGACGGGGGCATTGCAGTCAGATCAGAGTCAGATCTTGAATGGGCGAGCGCTGATTTCGATTCGGTCACAAATTGCTTGTCGTTAACAACAAAAACTATGGCATGGGAACAACATTTGGCAGCTGCTTTGCTTACATTGCGAAACAGAGTTTGCGACTGGTGTCGTTGGACGCGACTTTAAACGCACTTTTCTCCACTTTCAAGTTTGGCTTTCTCTAGTTTCTAAGATGGGCACATCGTAGTACGTTTCACTCTCTACTTTTCACACATTTCCCCGGTTCCACGGACCGATGTGGGGATCTGGCTCTGGCCTATTCGGAGATTTTTGTTTGGATGCACGGTTGGCTTTGCTCAGATGGCCGGAAATCAAAATTCGCACTGCTCGCGCCACGCCGATTCAAGTCCCGTTAGTTCCGACCGTACCCGCGGGATCGCAAACTCTCACTGAACCGATTTTTATGGTACACACGCTGGAACCGAGCAGCTCGGCCAGCCCCAAGCCCGCTCGGCACGGATGCTGGCCGAGTGGGTCGCGAAAGGCCGAGCGCACAACGCTCACGGCCGCCCAATAAGCGGTACGAAGAGCAGCGGTCCCGAGAGCAAAAGCGAGAGATTTCCAGCCCCCGAAGTTGAGACACGAAGTGGTGGATGCTGCCCGATAACAGGGCTCTGTTAACTTGGCTTTACGGTTTTATAGCACGCTTTTGGGGCGGACTTCCTGTCACTTCCCCAAAAAAAACCAACCAAACACACCAAATAAATAATTAACGGCTTCATATCGTATTTACTTACATCTTTGCAATAGATAACCACTATGGAAAGTGCATAGTATCGATGTTGCATTTGGTTTATGGCAGCGGTTAATCTTGTTTACATTTCAAATTAGCCTGCGGCATTTTCTTGGCTCTCTCTCTCTCTCGGGTTAGCTCGTTTCTCTCGGGGTTTATCTGGCGCAGCTTGTACTAAAAATCAGCTGATGGCTGTGCTAAATCTTGCATCTGCCTTTCAAATGTGCGGATTAACAATTTACTGCTTAAGTTCTGAAGTTCTAAAGCAACTCAACAAAGAAGTAAGTAGCTAAATTTTATGTAAACTTTATAAAAACAGCTTTCTAATAAATTAAGTCGATAGTTAGAAATATTTTGTTTTCAATTTTTGTTTTGCCTTTAAGTTAATAGTTTGTTTAAAAGATATTTCGAACTTGTTTATATGACAATGGTCAAAAGAAGTATTCCATACATATGTAGATATTTATACTAACTTTCATCTGCATTATTTGGACATCAATCAAAAGCCACCTGTTGCCTGTTAGTTGATATGAGCACCCACACATCAATCAAAAAGCCAAGACTTAATCGTCAATAGCGGAAACCTGACAAAAATAACCTTAACTTTAAAAGTAGAGGTTCTAGAGTATGCCATAATTTATTTATCAACTCCAATAGGCCAATAAACAATTTGTTATTCGGTAGAACACAGTTCTGTAATCAGCAGATCCCGCTCTTTTATATCAACAGAATTTTTTTCTCTTCGTTAAGAGAAAATATTGTCTGACCGAAAAATGTGTGCCACAGTTTCAGCCGCCTTGTTGAGCTTTTTATGGCTCTGTTAGCCAATGTTAGCTATGTAGGCCAAATCAGTCCGATGTAGGTGAGAGTCCCTCGGGGAGATCCCTGTCCAGAGGAAGAAATAACAACGCTTTCAATAGTCTCCACACATACCCTCCAAAAAGATCCCTAATTTACTTCTTCCCTCCGTTAAAGTCAATTTCCACTTCCACAAATGTTGGTCAACTGTTTTTTATCAGCTCATAAACATGGCGTACAAGTTCATTTCGGTGTTAAAAGCGTGTTTCCCACACACATGTGTGCGTGTGTGTGCGAGCGTCCGTTTTACAGCTGCAGCATCAACAACACACTCACAAACACTCGGTGGCTGACATTTTTAATAGCAAACACAACACGCAGCGACTTTCGCACATGAAATAATGCCAGCTGAAGTAGTAAGTAGTCCGGCCGGAACCGAACCCAAACAGATGACGCACTATGGGACGGGATCGAAAGGACAAGGGTTAAAATCTTTGACCCTTATGATTATTATAAGAAATACGCAGCCAAAACCCTAACAGTTACTTTATTTGGGACATTCGATTGTTTTATTATATTATTTTTCGCAGGAATTCAAAGATTTATATCACAGGTAAATGGAAAATATTCAATAATCATACTTTTGATACAACATTTTCATCAATACCATTGAACATGCACTGTTTTTGTGCACTAAATAAGTATTGTTCAACCAAAAACTATCAAATGGCTTTGAGTTTCTAATTTCAGTTTTCATTTTTGGAGATTGAACAGGGTTTGTGCTTACTCAAAAACAATTATGAAGTGATGTTCTACTATTTCACTAGCTAACTTACTAAAATGTATCTAGTAAAAATATGTTAACTTTTTCAAATTTTCAATGACTAAATAGTTTAAATATGAGGACTGATATTAGGTTCTTTATTGGCTTACAACTTTATCCACTGTTCCTGTACACTTTCCATGCTTGTTGCCATTGTAGTTGTAATGAAAGTGTTTTTTATGAAGTGCCCGCATCCTCGTACGCAACATGCGTGTCCTGATCCTGCTTCTGCTCCTGCTGCTCGTGCTGCCACTTCTTGCTCCGCCCAGTGAAATATGACAAAAAGCATGCTACAGCTTCGCTATTTCCGCAGTGCTGGTTGTTGGTTTTTGTCAGCGCTTTAATAGCGAGACGAAGTCAATGGCAAAACGAGGAGCAGCCAAAGGAGTCGCCGGCTCCTGTTGTTGGAAACTGTATGTAGTGAGTAGTGTCTGGTGTGTGTGTGTTCGCAATAGCAATAAAAATATATTTTACAAACTGCTTCTGCTGCTTAGGATTTTTTCCTTTTTTTTTCCCGCTGTATTGTTAGAGTTTTTCTTCCCCTGCCTCGTTTTTGCTGCTGTTTGATATATGTGGAGCGGCTAACAAGAGCTCTCCCAACACCCACACTCCACCCCCAAAAACCCCTTAAACTCACGCCACCCCCACACACATGCAAAACAAGTTCGCTACAACAAATTATTGGAAACCCAAGAAGTTTTCTCCACTGGTGCTTTTATTTTCCCCTAACTCGCATGAAAAAATATTAAAAAAAAAAGAAAAAGAAAGGGAACGAAAAGCATAGGGGAAAAAGAAAATCTCGCATAAAAAATACGAAAATTGTTCCAAAGTTAGCAAGCCAACAACAAGCATATAAAATGTGTTTTTGCCAGAGTTTTCCCGGCGTTCTGATTACATATGTATGTGTGTGCAGTTTTGGCTGGGGCCGCCACTAAAACGCGTTTTGCTTAACGCGCTCGAATCGTTTTCGGTTTGCCCCGGTCCCCTCCACTCCCTTGGCTGGCTTGGCTTTATTTGGTTATGGCCTTCAGTTTGTGTCAACCATAACGATTTTCTTTTCAATTTAGCTTTAGTGCGTATTTTGTTCTAATTTTATTGCTCGTATTAAAATATTTCCTTCTCGCCCGCCTGCAGTTTCTTCGAGTGCCTGTTAACACACAATTTTCACCAACCACTTAAACAGGCAAGTCGAAGCACAACAACCACTTTTATATTTACAAATGCTATACACACATATACGCCAAACATATATGTTGCGTATACCCCGCATCGTTACAATTTTGGAATCATGGTCGCTTGATAATATATTTTTTATGATATTTATGGCTCTGACATTTTGCTTAGCTGGCAGGCGATTTATACTTTTTGGCCAACTCTTTTCCATTCCCCTGCCATTGTTTTAGTTTCCCTTATTGTATGCTGTTTTTTGTTGCATTTTTATGTGCCATTGTTGTTGGCGTTTGTGGCTGTTTATTGTTTGTGATACGAGGCAGATCCATGGTCATTCAATGGATTGTCATATTGTGGCAACGTCCTTTTTTTATGCCCGCACACGTTTCGATGGGTTTTTATGGCGGAAAATCCACTAATACACGGGTATTATTCAGTTGGTGCTGCGCACAATTCTGAATAGATTCCAAATATTTGCAATATATAAAATAAGCTGAATACATTTTCCAATGAAAGCCAAAACAAACGGTCAACTTTTGTTCATATTTAATCGGATTCTTGAATATTTTTAGCTCGTTAACTTTTTCCGTACACTCTGAAGAAAAATGAAAACATAAACGTTCAAAAATCTTTGGAAAAATATAAGCCTACAGTGCAATCATCACAAACAATTTATTGGTTTATTTTTTATTCTAGTCATTCATTACTTAAAGTAAGTTAACAAACAAAAATTTTTCAATCAGTTTTTAAAGAAACAAAAAAATTAAATGTTTATCTATGTAAATATTTACATGAGTTGTAAAATCATTAAAAATTTTTATTTTAACAGTACCATTTCAATAGATAAATCAATTTTGAGAGTGTGACAACGCACATATATTTTATTCGACTGTTGTCTATGGCCAAACATTATTTGGGAAATTTTTCACACAGTTTGGGTAAAAATGTTTGTCTGCCACTTTGAGACTTGAGCACCGAACTGGATGGAGGCGGGCTGGCAATTAAAATTTCCAACAGCAATGGAGACAGGAACACGACTGTGTTGTCTCTGCCCAAGTTTGCCTCGAACAACTTGCTTTCGGACACTCCAGGAATAAAATGAAATTGTTTAAATTTAATTCAATTTGCTTGCCCAGCAACAAATTGCCGTCGCTCAGAGCTGCAAACAATCTCCAATCTGGGAATTCGAAATGAAAATATTCACAAATAGTTCAAGTGCAATGCCATTTGAAGTCCTTGTCTGTAAACAAAGTGCGAGTGGGCCAGGACACCTCTCCAGCAGTTGGTGGGTGGGGTCCGTTCCATTCTGGCCCCACTGTATATTGCATTCAGTTAGTTAATTATTGAGCCACGAGCACGTAGAAAGCTATGCACGAGTGTGTGGCATCTGTTTGCCAGTGTCTGGGTTTAACTTAATTAGAGCGCTGCGCTGCGCTGCATTTTCGGTCTTCATTTAACGCAACGCCATGGCCTCGACCAATCCCACCAATCCCCCCCAAATCTCACCTTGGCCAGCTCACCTGCCTTGGCTGTGCCACCTCGTCCTTGTTCTCATCCCAATCCTCCATCCCAGCCAGTTCCTGTCCCGTTTCCGATCCCGCTCACGTCCCGCTCCCACTGTCCGGCTGTCTGTCTCCGCGGGCGAAAATTTAAAACTGCATACAACTATTTCCGCCAGGGCCAGAGGCTGCCTCCCCGATGTAGCCAAACATTTCACTACGTTTATTTGCTCTGATACCCTGTAGAAGCGTACTTGATGGGGTAATGCAAAAAATGTAATTTATAAAAATAAATGAGGCTTTAATTAATTGTGCAAGGCTATCGCATAGGACTGATAAATTAGTTAGCAATT